GGGGGCTGGGAGAGTTGAAGAGTAGCAGACAAAAACAGCGAGAAAGAGGCTCCCTCTCCGTCTTCAAATGGGTTTGAAGGAGAAAAGAACCTACCCTCATTGTAAAGACCCCCATCCTTGTTGCGATCTCTATCCACTCATGCCGGGCGGGATTCACATGCGAGCTCACAGGTGGGATAACGTGGCTCGTCCTCGGATACAACGTCCTCGGATACAACGTCCTCGGATACAACGTCCTCGTTTTACGACGGTTCCGACGAGGGCTGGGCCGATATTGCCTGAAATTCTCATCATGGTACAAATTTAATTCCTTCGCGGCGATGATATAAATAGTGCTGTAAACTTAAGTGTAAAAGTTATAACAAAAGTATTTGTGAAGTGTTTCAATGCGGATGCTTTGAATTTTACCGAACCCTTAACATTCAAGCAATTTCGATTGACCAAGCATTTAGGCGAGAAAAGCTAGCTAGCTGTATGGTCGTCGGAGTTTCGATGCCTATTAAAGGCTCCGCTTTTTATTTGGCTTTTTTGTTTTGCAACACATTGACGGAAGAAGGAACAGCCTTGTACAAGGGGTGTTAAGAGAAGACTACGTGTAATGTTAAAAAAATAAATAGATTGACAGTTACGTTTTTGTAACGGCAGTTGACCCTATTTCCATTCTTTACAGTGGAAAACAAGCGCTAACCGTGCAGCTTTGGAGGCAAATCTGTAAAGTTCTTCTACTCGAATCCAAAACGAGGCATATACATACCAGCATACCTTTTCGTTTAGGTCCCTGGCATGTTTGTACAGACGAAGCATTCAAAATACCCAAGCACTCAGCGGTGCAGAAAAGCATGTTAAGATAAGTAAACAGTCTTCTCAATTGCCAAAACAACAATCGAGGTAACACTTTTAAAAGCTCTTATCACTTGACAACTCGTTGGTGGTTAGCACATATGTTTTTACACGTGTCGGAAACTTTGACTTCCTCACTTTTCAACAGTTTGTTTTTTTTCAAAAGATGTACAGCGACTGTACAAACTGTGGAAATTTGAAGACACACAAGTGCCCTTGTTGTCTTGTGACAAGCCATCACATCTGAGTCAAAAGCTTCTCCCCATCCCCTGCTCCGCACGTGTTTCTGTGCTGATAAACGTTGTTTGGCCCGATAAAAGGCAGCCCATTTCATCTTTGTCTGATTTTAAAAAGATGTTTCACTCGAGAGGACATTAAAAAGAAAGATGTTATGAGCATATGGGCAATGACAGTGGGAAAAGGCACCCCCCTCCCCGCCCCCGCCCTCCCGCCCTCCCATCGTGCAGCCAGACCATTGTTATCCGTATTTCAAACAGTAAACTGCTCTTTAAAACCATTTCAAAGTCCAAAGCCCAGTGCACCGTTCAACTTTCACACAGCAGCTACCAATTACATTTTAGGATGAGAGTCCTCCACACAGAAATACAAAGTGGGAAGGGGGGGCGCACTGACCCCCCCCCCCCCCCCCCCCCCCCCCCCAATGAGAGCTTCTCTTGCTTCTCCAAAAATAGGAGGTTGTAAGAGAGGAATAACCGCCAACCACCACTGCCGCTGACGCTTTTTTGGCGCATCATTCATGAGATGAGATAAATCTGACTCGTAATAAAAGCTGTGGGTGGGACGCAGTTCTTGTGGAACTTTTTTCAGTCTCATAGGGGGAGAGGAGTCATGTACAACAATGAATGAATGTGATTTGCATGGTAAACGTAAGCTTCAAATTCGGGGAAACAACAACCTGTTGTTTTTACGGTGATCACCGTTTTATTGGCAAATGCACCGCTAGAAAGAAAAAAAAAAGCCAAATGACAACACCATAACTAGCGCTCTGATAGAGCAACTAGCAGGTTCTCAGTCCCTTTCGCTAGCTCAATTTAGACGGGTGGCCAGCTGGAATCTCGGTGGCGCCGAACTTCTTTCTTTTTGGAATTATAGAGGTCAATTCGTACACAGAGTAACTCAATGCGCTTCACATATTTAAAAAAAAAATATGACATTTAAAGGCGGGTCTACAGACAATTCCTTTGTTTTCATGCTCCAATTAAAATACTGTTGGTTACTAAAAAAGCAAACGCAAGACTGTTAGCTTAGCATGTGGCTGTTGCTTAGCTCTAATCTGTTAAAAGTTAGCTTAGCCTGTTGCTCTTTGTGTTTGCTCTTTGCATTATTACATATATAAATTCATACATATGGATGGGTGATGTAAAACAAAATACTGGTCACTTGTAACATTCCTAGAAGGCAAGTAATGACCAAAACAAACACACAGTATTGTTAGCTTAGCATATGGCTGTTTACTGGCTCCGGACACTCCGTAGCCATTGTCATTTGGTGTTGTCTTGTGACCAGTTTGTCCTACGTGGTGTTTTCTCAGTTTGAAGTGGAAAAAAAAAAGCTCGTCATATATAGTTCTTGAACCATTTAGTATTTTAGTAGATCGAAGGAAGCAGAACAAGAAGCAGGCGCTGCTCAAGATGTTGGATAAGTGGAGCGACACACGCCGTCGAGCTGATGTTTACACGTCGCCTGCTAGTGGTGGCGTGTAGCGCACTCCGCCGCTTACAAAGACAGAAGGGGCCTGCTGGCTTTGGCTCCGTGTGGCCTTCAAAGAGCTTATTTTAATCGCCACATCAGGAGAGGGGCCCAATCTGATAAGGCAGATGAGTCGCATCTCGGGACACTTCACAGTACATAACTAGCCCAGTTCCACTGGCCCTTTAATCCCTCCGCTTATTGTCTACCTGAGGCCTTTACATGAAGACCTCAAGGTGTCTCGTATGTATCATATACATACTTATTTTTTAAAAAATTCAAGTATTCATGGACCCGTTCACAGTGGGGGAGACATGCTAACCACTCCACACCATGCTTCATCACGCGTTCACCTTCAAGCACAATCGAGGATCTAACAGACACCCTCCACATTTCTCGTCTCTGTTTACCACACACAGACTGAGTGGCTGAAAAGCCAAAGCATATGAAGGAGGCCAGTCCAAGTTCTTTAAATTGTCAAGGCGCACAATAGCCACCGCCGTGCGACAATGGCCCAGCTCGAGACAACAAGCCAACGAAGCGGCTTGCACAAACAAGATTTATTTGCGTCCCTCCAACAAAGGCCGCCCACTGAGCTCTTCACCAGGATGACAACGGCAACCGGACTCCACTCGGTCACTTTCTCTTCAAGGGCTCTTCACCACCCAAAAAGAGGTCACACTTGCTCCAATTTGGACATTTAATTCCGCAAATGTCTGACAACAACCTTCCTTATAAGAACAGTAATCATGAAAAAAAAAATCATTTGTTTTTATTGATTAGACCAATTTGCTAAATTGGGGCTGGGAGGTATTAATAAAATCAAATTGCAAATTTGATAGAAACCTGTCAGCCATCTTGGCCTTCAAAATAAAAGGTAACATTTTCACATGCACCCTTTAAAGAGAAGAATATAAAAGGCACGTGATATCAAACAGACCAACTCAGGTTCAAATATGTGAGACTGAGGCCGTTTGAAACATGCGGCAGAAGGATTGGAAACCTGCAAGACACTTGGGTTTTCAAAATAAAAGGGTTCCTTTTCAATAATCTGTCCCCTTGAAAAAAAAAAAAAGAACATGAGACAGCAAATTACGCAAAATAGGCCGACCTGCCAGACCACTTTGTCCCTTAGAATCAAAGGCCTAATGTAACCTCTGTTCCGAAAAGCCTCTGCAATTATCATAAAAGCATTCCGCTGATGACCAAATCTTCATCTCATCACAACTCAACATATTTCTGCGACTGAGCTGAGAGAAAGAACTTTGGCAGCAACACCAACAGTACTCGTGCACTTTTTACGCATTAAAGTGATTACGTTTCCAGTGGAAAAACCCCCGTGATCAGAGTGAAATCGTGACTGGGTATAATTTACATTTCAGGGCGAGATTACGAAGCGGTAAATCAACCAGACGGTTGTTACAGTCAAGACGGTGAGACAGTCTGCCGTCTGTTACCTGAGGCCGAACAAGGCTCGCCGTCGCTGGAGATGTTGCGTCTCCTCTCGTGCCGATAAACCAGATGGGGTTTGTGGTGCTCGTCATCGTACTCGGCCTCCCCGTCGGCGTTCATGAGAGGCTCCAGGAAATATTCGCCATCCGGCGTTGTGAAAGTGCCAATCTGAAGCACGGCAAAAAAAGACAGGCATGGTTCGTGAGAGGTGTGCCCAAAGTAGATGCAGTTCAGCCGTGGTGTCTTCCATTTACATGGTCGAAGTAGCACAAGTTCTTTTTTTTTCCTTTTCTGCTAACACAAGAGTCAGTGGTGAAAATCTCTACAAATCAAATGTTTTGGAGAGCTGCAGTCTTAGCACAAATTAGCATTAGCTATTAGTGCTGTTACCATTAGCTTGTTTGCTCGCTATATATATGTGTATATATATTTTTTTTTTTACACTCTGGGCTATGTACCGGATTGCCAGGGATGGCCAGGGTTCCCACGGATCCTTAAAGTTCATAAAAATCCATAAAAAAGAAGTTGTAAAACGATGTTCTTAATTGTCCTTAATTTTCAGGGAAAGCTTCTAAAATCAATAAAAAGCCTTAAAAAATATTTTTATTTGAAAATAAATTGAATTTGTGCCCTTTGGCAGCAATGATTTGAACATTGGCTCAGTGATATGTGGCTTTCTGTTAAGCCCGCATGAAGCCTGAAAAAATATATTTTTTTTGAAAATAAATTGAAGTTGTGCCCTTCCTTTGGCAGCAATGATTTGAACATCGGCTCAGTGATATGTGGCTTTCTGTTAAGCCCGCATATTGCTGAGCGGGCATTAAATCCACCGTGATTCCCCTGCTGAATGGAGAAAAAAAAGTCCTTAAAAAGGGCTAAATTGGCCCTCAAAAGTCCTTAAAAGGTCCATAAATAAAAAGCAAGTGGAAGAGTGGGAACCCTGACCTTGGCGCATTTCTATTCTGATTACATCCTATGAGCAAATATGATGGAACTGGGGAAATATATTGCGTATTCCAGGTTCCTACTGCTCATTTTGTACTCCCAACAGCTGTGGTCTCCGAAACTGCAGACAGCCTCGGGGCGTCACTTTTGTCTGTGATTGACATGCTGACTCAGAGAGATCTTGTCAGACAGAAAGCGCTTAACGTACGGCAGGACGAGACGTTTCTTATCTGGCGCAGTTCTGACTGTCAACGTATACAGTTCCCCGCCGGCAGCTCTTACATCATCATCATCATCATCATCATCGTACACGGAACAGAGGAATGCTAACATTGATTTGGCAGCTCGGGCCCTCGTAAAGCTCCTGAGCTCACTCAGCCATGAGGCTGTTTGCATGGTCATATCATGCGCACGCTTAAACAGGATATCGCACGCTGGAATGTTTCCTTAGCCCCGTGATTCAACGCCCGTCCTCGCAAAGTGACACTTAACGGAGGGGGAGGGGCGTGAGGGGGCGATTCCAATATGGAAAACGCGAGGATGGAGGATTAGCGAATGGCTGTGACGTCAGGAATCGCTACGAGGATCCTCGAAAGCGCCACGTGCCTCGAGTGCTACATGTGCCGAAGGGGGCGAGCTTGTGAAAACAAGACGCTGGATGGAAACTTAACTGCAAGTCCACACGAGAGGCTGCAATCTTATCCAGTCGGGATGATGGAATGCTGGCAAGTATGCGGGAGCGAAGGCCAATATGGAAAGAAAGTGGAAGCGGTATTTCTTCTTGACTCGGTGCTACTTCTTGTCAAACAGATGGAGTCAAATGTCACACTGGAAAATTATCCATCCATCCATCCAAGTCACAGAAATGCGAGTCCGCTTCCATCACACTAAGTTCCTGGCGCAAATTTTTCTTCTCTTAGCAATGTCAAGCTTTCAGAAAATGTGTGGCAAAAAGCAAAACACACTCACAGAGTTAATCCAATGATGCTGGCTGAAAATGAGGTTTAGTGAGGGGAAAAAAAAACCCTCCAAAAATATAACTTTGGGTCATATTTTTCAGCCAAATGAATTTGTCCAATTGAAGCATGGCGACCTTCTCAACTTGTCGATAAATCTCCCTGAAGTCAACATGGAGCGAGTGGAAAAGCATTTACTTGTTTGTCCTTTTGGATTTATCCTTTTCAAAGGCAGCAGGGACAAGCATCGTTGGCTGTGCTCATTCTTGACCTTGTAAACATTGTCAGGATCAGCATTAAGTGAGGGTTACTAAGGCTATTTGGTTCATTTCCATTTATTTATTTATAATAGCAGTGTTGGGGAATACTAAAACCACAACGTTTTTCCTCCTTGTCCCCCTTCTTCTCCTACACTTGCACTATCTATCTTATCTATTACGGGTGAGCGAAACACGATTTGAAGCCAGTTGTTACTCTTTAAAATCTACCATCTTTAAATCCTATTCTATTATTCACGCACTCATACACACCCTCGGAGGTTTAAACCGAAAGTCACTAAAAACCAACAACGACGTTTGCCAAAAGAGTTCATAAAACTGTTCAAACGGCGACAAGACCCTGGCACACATTTCGTCAATCTCCATTATTTCTTCTGGGACAAATTGAATTGAAAGTTCCACCCAAAGACGCAATCTTGGAGGTTCTGCTGCTTCTTGGTTGACATTTGCTGCTGCAATTTTAAAGAGTATAAATGATTTATATGTAGTAAGTGGTAGGTAGATGGTTACCTGTGTCTTGTCAATCACTATCTACGGCCAGTTAACTTTGACGTGAGGATTTCGCCCACAGAAACAGGAAGCCGCTTTGTCAAGTGGATGTAGAGCGGGAGGTGGGCGTGAGGTTGGGGTGGCACAGTTTCCACATTTCCCAGCAAAAAAAAAAAAAAAAAAAAAAAAAAAAAAACCTAAAACACAAAGGTTGCTGTTCAGCAGTGGGTGCTGAACTGGACTTTACCGCCTCGAGAAGGAGGAAGAGAGGGTTCGGGTGTTGTGGGGGTTTTTCCATCACAAGCTGGGTCATAGTCGTGCCAATGGAAAAAAAAAAAAAAAAAAGAAAACAATACAACACAAATACAGTGTTGCTTTGACATACAAGTTGAATTTGTTCATGTTTGTGACTCAACACACTTGTATCTCAAGTCATATTTCCCCATTGAAATAAATACAAAGACCATTAATCAATTCCAGCTCCACGTTGTGTGCCTTCTAGTATCCCTGCTATGGCCACCGGGGTGCAGTATAAAGCAGATGTGGACACAAGAAGTACAGCTTTACAACTGACTCAGTCATCTACAATAATATGAGGCATTTTTCACGGAGGATAAAGAATATATGCCTCTCGGTATTATTGTCGACATGTTTTTCTTGTATTGTTCAATAATCCATGGCTTAATTAAATAAATTATATCCCTCTACCTGTCTTGGTCATTTTGCATTGCTTGATAGTAGGGGTGTGCATCTACCAACAAAAGACGATTTTGATATGATTCTCAAAACACGGGTTACGATACGATTCAAGGATGTAACAATTTTGAAATGTAACAATTTGATTTGGTGGGATTATAATTTGATTCAAAATGGTAGGCTTTGTCATATTTATTAATATGCAACAACAAATTAAAAAAAAAGATCTCCAGAGCCCGAACAATCCAAGTTAACTCAATTCAAAGAAATGACAAATCATCTTAAACATCTCCAGGTACTCCGGTTTATATGCATGGCAGGCTGATCGAACACTCTCAATTGTCCCTAGGTGTGAATGTGAGCGCGGATGGTTGTTCGTCTCTGTGTGCCCGGCTTGCAACCGGTTCAGGGTGTCCCCTGCCTACTGCCCGAAGAAGGCTGGGATAGGCTCCTGCACCCCCACGCGACCCTTGTGAGGATAAAGCGGATCAGAAACTGGATGGACGTTTTAACATTAGCCACATGCTGTCGGATTGCAGATTTTATAATCATTGTCCACTATAAAAAAAAATGTAAAAATCGTGCAAGCCACAGTGCCCTTGAGGTGGCCCAATCGGGCATCGTGATCTTCACGTAGCGGCGCATCGCCGGGCATCGGAATGACGATGGCCTCGTTTGTCACCGAGGCTGTGTCGCCACACACTTCTTTGATGTTGGGCACTCAGCACCTCCCGGCAGCCAGCGTTTCCCACGGTGTGAACACGCCAGGAGTTTTTTTCAGGCTGCTTGTCGCCACAAGCTCATTCTGTAAAGGCCAAATGCTCCCCAGACGCACCGTTTCTCAGCTTTGAGTAACTGCGGGCGAGAAAGGGGAACCTGCTTCTTTTCCACCCCGAGAATGACTCCTTTGTTTTAGGGCTTAATTATTCCTTAATGACCTCATCCCGACAAAAAAAATGTGGCCGAGCCATTAAGCTCCAGTGATCAGATAGGGACACATTTATGACCCAATAGCCTCCGGTGCCGTCTCCATTGTGTTGTCATTCTCAATGAGTGATGATGCGGATAACCAACAGAGATTGCTTGAAAAAGGATGCAAACATGTTTGGATAAGCGAGTCATTCATCAAAGTCGGGCAGAGGGGCAATTAAAGGCTGATTAGCCTGATCAATTTAGCATACCTCAGCTCTTAAATTGCTTTCCAAACATGGAAATCACTTGACGGAGTGTCTCTTCTCTCCCCCGTCTACGTCCTGTCATTCATCAGGAGGACTGACTGAAGCGGGACTTTTACAGTTGGACACAATGCATGCTGGGATGCTGTCTGCTCGGCTCCCCCCCAAGAAAAAAGTAGGATGTTCCTGGGTCCAACTGTCACGATCACGGAAGCTTTAACGAACGATGCTAACTTTGGGTGGGAGCATTTTTACACCCTGGACTGGTTGCGAATCCCCCCCCGCCCCAATATTATTACTTTTTTTGGGGGGGGCCCATTTTATGTGTATTTATGGTTTATCAACATTTTTTTTGGGGGGGGGGGATGTTAGGGTTTTTTAAGTAATTTTCCCAATCCATTTCATTGGCTGTCAATTATAGGCAAATTTTGGCTAATTTATTTTATTGTTGGTCTGGGCTGGTTTCAATCCCCTGTGAATGTCGGGGGTCATCGCTGCACCGTAAATAAACAAGTTGTTTGAATGGATCTTGTTTGGTTCCGTGACCGTTTTCTTTAAATGGCGACAGATGTGTGCAAGAGTTTGAATGTGATTGGTTCATTCTGAGCACAGCAACGTTCCAGGTTATAAGAATGTGTGACACTTGTGTAACCGCATAATCTCGGCTGTATATTTTTTTACTTCCGCTCGCTATGAAAAGCAACTTGAGTTCTAAAGTCACATCAATGCTGGAAAAAGTTTTGAAACGATTTATCCTGAGGTTATTTATTTTTTTTTTAGATCACCAAAACCTGACATTTGAACAGGGGTGTGTACACTTTTTATATCCACTGTAAACACTATCCCGGTACAGTACAAGGTGCGGCCATCTAAAATAAGGACGATGTCAACCGATTGGGATTCTGCCTGGGGTATTACTGTCTGCATCGCGGGGATCTCGCCAAAAGGTCCACCCCATGCCAGAATCCGGTGGGAGTGGCGGAGGTCAAAACTGCCAAGTCACCGCCCCCCCTCCCCCGAGAGCACTATTCAGGCACCAGTATCCCTAGCATTTATATTGAGCCAGTAAAGTCAATGTGAGCCAATCAACTTAAAACAACCTGAAATGATGATGTGACAATGGGGGGATCATCAAACACCTGCTTTTGACCAAAGTGAAGCAGGATTTACACTGCCGGTTCCCAGTCCCGATTTAATACCTCTACCTGATTTTATTTTTGAAACACATTCATGCACCCTGTAACCTGATAACATGATAAGTTGTCCACTGTCGTAACCGCTGTCCCTGAAAGGGTTTGTTTCTATTCCATGTACATGGAGTGACGCATGTCCAACTTGGTTGTGTCACAAAACACATGAGAGTACTCACAAAAGCAGCGCCCAAATGAGCACGTAAATAACGAGTGTCAAGTGTCGGTGTCATTAAAGTGTCAATTCCGGGCATTGACAAGTAAAGTCACCAATAATACATGAAAGATAGAAATATGAAATATTCCATAGCAGTTAGTTGGCCTGGGCTGATGCTTCCCATCTGACTTATTTGCTTGGCGTTGCTTTTCTGACACTGCTGCTAACGTGTGCCGGACTGCAGTTTGGACTGCAAAATTTTGTAAAATTGTTTCGTATAGCTTTCATAATACGGGAAGTATATTGGAAAAAAAAGTAATTTGGGGCTTTGTCTTTTTTTCTGTTTTATGGAATTATTTTTTTCTATTTTGGGGGAATTTATTTTTCATCATTCAAAAAGATTATTCTGAAAAACAGGAAAAAAATATTCCAACAAGGAGGAAAAAAAATATTCCGAAAAACAGAAAAAAAACAATATTTTAAAAAAAGAAAATAATCAAAAAGAAATGAAAAAAAACATATTCCGGAAACAGAAAAAACTGGAAAACATTTACCAAAAACAGAAAAAAAAATTTCCGTAAAACAAAACAAAACATTTTGAAAAACAAAAACTGAAAAGTTTTAAACAAAGCCCCCCCAAAATCGCTTTTCCTCCAAGTGAATACAAATTCCGTATTTTATGCATCAATAATAAAACGCGTTACATTGCTTCTGTCATATTTTTCGTACTACTGCGATAACACAGATAATCATGACAATTCTGCTAATGATAATCACGATATGAAACGTTGATATCGTTTCATCGAGTGGACGCACGCACAATCTAATGATGCCCGATGCCAGCGCTTTCTCCCACACGCTGCCTTTGCAAGATAACATGGCTCACTTCTGATGAGCTATGACTTGGAACAACATGTTTATTCTTGCGGTTGTCGCTGTACATTTTGCCTCTCGCGTGCCACTGAGCGAGGGAAGCAAAATTCTGCATGGGCAGCAGCTTTCAGTGTGACGCATTCCAGGTCGACATATTCCAACAAGCAGGAAAAAAATTATTCCGAAAAACAGAAAAAAAAACAATCTTTTAAAAAAAGAAAATAATCAAAAAGAAATGGAAAAAAAACATATTCCGGAAACAGAAAAAACTCAGAAAAATGGAAAGCATTTACCAAAAACAGAAAAATAATTCCATAAAACAAAACAAAACAAAACATTTTGAAAAACAAAAACTGAAAAGTTTTAAACAAAGCCCCCCCAAAATCGCTTTTTCTCCAAATGAATACAAATTCCGTATCTTATGCATCAATAATAAAACGCGTTACATTGCTTCTGTCATATTTTTCGTACTACTGCGATAACACAGATAATCATGACAATTCTGCTAATGATAATCACGATATGAAACGTTGATATCGTTTCATCGAGTGGACGCACGCACAATCTAATGATGCCCGATGCCAGCGCTTTCTCCCACACGCTGCCTTTGCAAGATAACATGGCTCACTTCTGATGAGCTATGACTTGGAACAACATGTTTATTCTTGCGGTTGTCGCTGTACATTTTGCCTCTCGCGTGCCACTGAGCGAGGGAAGCAAAATTCTGCATGGGCAGCAGCTTTCAGTGTGACGCATTCCAGGTCGACGCCACCGTAAGCAACAACCACCACCACAACGTCCTGATCATCAGGAGGTGACGTAGAATCTTTCCAAAGGCAGAATTCTTGCCTGGCTGATTTCTATTCACTTAACCTGTTCATGGTCACTTAATTTTTGGAAAATAGTCGACAGACTTCTACTTGTTTTTTTTTTTGTTTTTTTTCCCACAGTGAATGGGAATCGATCCCACCTCATCTAAGCAAACCACTACACTAATCGCCCTCATGTGATTTTTCCGTATAGCCCAGTTCCAGCACGGATGCTGTTCAGTTACTCATATAAAGTGAATGATTAGTGAAGCCACAAATACATGAAAAAATACACATCCAGTCTCAAGAATCAAATGCCACACAACACTGCCTGAGCTTCGATTCAAACGTCTTGACTGCGAGGCAGGCGCGCGAGCCGTGACCCCATCGAGCTGTTCTTGTCATTCGTGTCACAGGTGAGCGGGAGCCTATCCCAGCTGATGAGGCAAGAGGGTACACCCTGCCTGAACCAGAGGCCGGTCTACAAGGCACATACTGACAAGAGACCCGCTCACATTTACTGTACATTCGCACTCATTCAACTAACAGGCTTGTTTAGAGTCCATGTCTGTCACGGCTGTGCCCAACCATGTCTTTGTTGGTCTCCATGGTGTCAGAATGACACGTTCGGATTATTTTTGTAGCTGTGAATAAGAAATGAAAGAAAAATAACCACCCAACAACATTAACACTCCACTGAGAGATTCAAACGCAAGACCTCTCAACTACGAGGCATAAATAAGAACCGCTTTTCGCAACGCATCAGAGTAGAAACAATCATGTACTACGACGGTGATTCGCAACCATGACAGCTTTAACCCTGGAGAACCCAAGAACCCTTTTCTTCCTTGGAAAAATGATGAATTATACATTAATTGACTGCTATATGTTCACTGAACACCAAAATATGTTTTTTTTTTCAAATATTTAATGCTTTAATCCTAATTTACGATTAGGGCCAAATTTGACCCTTTGGGATTTAAGGGTAGCATTTGAGTAGCAGAATTTATAGGGGCCAAATTTGACCCTCTGGGTTCTCCAGGGTTAAAACTGGTCCCAAATGTTTTGCTTTTTCAATGCCACAGATGACGTGCACAACAACATTAGATGGCAGAAGGTACACAAGTGACCTGTGAATGCACTTTTCGTCACATTTTTTGCTTGGGGGAACGGGGGTGGGGGGCGGTGAGATTTTCCTAATGTAAAATATGTGACGTCTTAACCGGGTTGAGAAGCACAGACTAACAACCTGCTGCCCTGCAACCTTGCACGAGACTACATCTTGATGGACGACACGCACGGGTGCAAACCGAGTTGCAGCGAGAGGGCGGGGGCGAGGGGGTCAGAGTGGTCGGTCCAAGCGGGTACTCACCAGGCCAGTGCACAGGCTGAACACCGCCGGCTGCTCCTCTCGGGAGTTGACGTGTCCTCGGAAGAAGCAGTGGCGCATGTCAGCGGCCTCCTGCGTCGACTGGCTCTCCTCGGCCGCTCCCAAGTGTGTGACCGCGTAGGCGGGCGCGATGAAGTCCGAGTGCGCGCTCAGGTTGAGATGGAAGCGTTGTCCGAACGCCTCGATCCGGTAGTGGAGCCGCGGCACGGACAGCTCGTCGTTTAAACTCCTGCGTCGGCGCCTGTAGTGCAACGTGTGCGGGAAGGACTCTCCGAAGTCATTGACCCGCAGCGGGCTGGTGATTTCGTACGATGACAGCTGCTTGATGAAGACTTCTGCGAGGGGATTGCACAACCGAGTTGTCACAACTGCCGATGTGCTCTACAGTGGTGGAAAACTCAAGTCGTACCTTGTTTGGGATGCAACCGGTACTGCGCGGCGAGCCGCACAAGCGCTGACAGATGACACGCGAGTCCCACCAGCCAAATCGCACACTGCATGATTCCCACGGCGGTGCTGTCCGCGGCGGCCCCTTCGTCGAGCTCCCCCTCCCCCCCCCCTGCTCCCTCTCTCCTCGTCCCCCAGGCCGGCTTGTCAGCAGCGGCAGGTCTCCGAATTGACGGAGGCTCTTCGCTGCAGCGCAAGACCCGCGTCGTGCGCGCGCCTCATCGCATTGCCGCCCACCCCCCTCGCCCCGAAAAAGTAGCAGCCCGGACTATTTATTTATGACACATGCATCCCACGCCCCCCTCAAATGCACACACACTCACACGCACACACATCCAGACACTTGTCTCTCTCCCCCCTTGCAGGGGAGTTAGCCACCCGGTGCAAACTAGAGAGTGTGCGCTGAAAGGAGGGAGCCGTGCCAAGTATGCTTCCCCTCAGCCATCCCCTCCTCGACCACCCTGTGCAAGCCCAAGACGCGCACACACATACGCACGCTCACACACCAAAGCAACAAAGCAACGCCCCCTCCGGCCACTACAGAGCCAATGGTGAGAGAGAGAGAGAGAGAGAGGGGGGGCAACAGCTCCATGCGTGGGGCCAGCCTTCTGGACTGCATGTACGCAAATCCAATGACAAAATATTGTGATGCACAATGCAAAAAATGTGGAAGTGGTAAATGGTAACGCGCACCATCAACAAGGCGACACACATGTTCTTGGCATTACTTACTTGTAAAAAAGTGTTACGATAACACTAAGGGCTGCTTTTCGTGACTCGAACGAATCCGGCGGAAATCTATGCAAGGGGGGCCGTGTGACAGTTGTCGGCAATTCCACAGCCACGCACAAGCCGGCGGATTTTAAAAAGGGCAGTTGGCACCGTTGTTGGCGTGAACACAGCCAACGCCATTGGGCGCCAGTTGATTTGATGTCCACTGTTGTTCTATATTTGAATGAAGTGCATCTGAGCGAATCCGGCGGAAATCTATGCAAGCGGGGGCCGTGTGACAGTTGTTGGCAATTCCACAGCTAAGCACAAGCCGGCGGATTTTAAAAAGGGCAGTTGGCACCGTTGTTGGCGTGAACACAGCCAACGCCATTGGGCGCCAGTCGATTTGATGTCCACTGTTGTTCTATATTTGAATGAAGTGCATCTGACATCAATGCTTGTGTTAGGATAAATCAGCATTTCTGCATGCACCATCTTTGAAATTTTTTTTCACAAAAATATCTTCTCTGCAGTCCCACTACTCTAAACCTGCCATTCTGATCAATGTTGCGTATATGCAATATGAGTCAAGCAGTAAAATCCACTTGTTTTTTTTGTTATCTATTTCCATCTCAGGGGGCGGCCACTTTTTTTTTTTTGCCACTTGCTGTCGACTGACAATGACATCACTCTTGCTTAAGGCTCAGGTTCAGAAAACAGGTGAGTCAATTTATATAAACCATTATACATTTTGCACTGATCAACGATACACTAAATTTATACTTTTTTTTAATACTTTTTTTGCGCACATACTTCCAGTAATATAAACGTCAGTACCACAACTGCTCAAGTTATTCCAAACCATTTGTCTCCCCTTTACAAGGAAAACAAGGATCAAGTTTAGTATTCCAGTCCTATAACATGACTTACATGGATTAGATGTGGCATATAATATGTCAATTAGTTGGAATATGAACCTTTTCTTCAATCTGTAAGGATTTAGGGGCTTGGGACTGTTGCATAACCTCCCAGGGGACCCAAACAGTCATTTTTTTTGGGGTGGGCTATTATTTCAGTTATAATGATCACTTGTGGGAAAAGGAAGCCAATCAAAGGCCAAAATAAAGAGAGCGGAAGGCATCATGCAGCCATCGCTCACTGTCGCTTGCCAGAGGAAGTCGACTCGCTCGGCCACCACGAGGCACTCAGCTTGTCGTTAATCATTTGGGACACGTTGAAGTCTTGTGCCAAGTTGATCGACGAATGAAAAGCACTTTTTTTGGGGGGGGGGGCATCCTTTTGAAGGGCCACGTCGTAGCATTGTGACTCTTTTGCTGGACTCACTGGAAAATATTTTGTCTTTTAAGATGCAGAGCTTCCTGGCACACAAAGCAGGCAATGAATGTGACTTCTCGGAACCGATTACCGTATTTTTCACACGAAAAGGCGCACTGGATTATGAGGCGCACCTTCAATGAATGGCCGATTTTGTAATTTTTTTTCATATATTGGATGCACCGCGTTATATGACGCAATCTACAATGCAGCCACTAGATGGAGCTACGCTCAAGGAAATGCCAACAGAACACTACACTACAGCCTGATTTATATAGCGACAATCAGATGTCAGTAAAATGTATTTAATAAAGCAGCGACACAGTTCACTTAACCAACAGCAAGTAAGAACATAGACTCGTTAACGTTCAACTCTCTTGCCGCTGCTCTATTTCTGCGTTCAACTGCGTAACCGATCGCCTTAAGTTTGAACTCTGTGTTGTAAGCATAGTCTCTAGCGAGGAGCCATTTTGGGGTTGACATATTACCGTAATGACCATACACAAGGCGCATCGGATTTTAAGGCGCTGTGAGCTTTTAAGAAAATGGAAGGCTTTTAGGTGCGCCTTTTAGTGTGGAAAATATGGTACCAGCATAACATGTGGGTCTGCCTGAACAAGGGCACTATTACTTCCCTCAGCTCAAACTCACTCAGTTTTGAAATACTGCAATTGTTCGGCAGCTATGGTACTCGAGAGATCAAAGATTTCTGGCCTCATGGGAGGTACTAATCGTCCAATCGGACGCTTCCGATATCATCACCTGGACTATTGTCCAGAGACCTGCCGCTGTTATGACCGCTGTGATGTCTCGACAAGTGATGTCGTCCTCAATTAACTGATGAATTGGTTTCCCATTGAAAAGGTTTCCCCTGTTCAAAGTAGGTGAGGATGTTGGGTTGTTTTATTAAGACGCAAACATCAGCTTGAAAAAAATCATTTATAAATTGGGAAACACGTCTGTTCACGGTTCAAACAGGCCACCGTAGTGGCACACATTTTCGACAGAATCCCTTCCTTGCAACTCCTGATGTCTCCCTGCGGCCAAACAACAAATGTGTTTTCGGGTTAATCTTAATGTCACCACTGGTTGTTGTAAATGTCCGTTTGACGCTTTTGTGAGCTTTGGGGCAATGATACCGGCCGGGCGGAACAAAAAACTGCTAGCAAGTGTCCACTCATGAGAGGTAGTCATTGTCACATTGAAACGTATGCCGTCTCTCGGCACAGACATTCCTAAAAAGTCCGCTTAAACATTTTAAGACATTCAACAATAAGCCATGATGATTGAGGGAAAAAACCCCACAGATTTATGTTTCTGGTGGTAAAGTGGTCTGAACCAGCGGTTTGTGGTCTGTTTTGTTTTTTGGAGATCCCACGCTGTAAATTATCGTTACTTGTCGGTTGCGATCGGAGAGTAAATGCTTCAGTGTGGTCTACAGAAGCGTCCTTTGAAAAAAAGTACACAAGGACCACCCTCAGACCCGCCACACACCCAGTGACGCTACTGACTATGACTGGACTTGACGATCACAAGCAAATTACAGTTGGAGACTTAACACCTGCACGCCTGCCGACTGACCCAAGTACGCATACAACCAATTCGCCGCAATGGAAAAACTGACAGCCGTGGTGTTCTCGTAGCAATATTGGTTTTGCGGACGGTTGCAGAAACTTGTACAGCGCGTGACAGTTCAGCCGCATTTGCCCTCGTCGCTCGGTGTGCTGCGGGCCTAAGCGCTACTTCCGAACTAAGATCGCAGCAGAAGACATTTCTTCATGCTGTTTGGCCGACCAGAAGTGTCAGAGTGTTGTTTTCTTTGTTTCATTGCTCGCAGCATGATTACACAAACACGAATAGGAAGATGTTTATAAAACCAATGAGCTGGTGGACCGTGTGCCAAGGAAGGGACCATAACGTTTCTGGGCAGATTGCGCAGTTTTCAGATACTTGGGCTTCATTAGAATGAATTTGTAGAAGGTCTGTTCCAGATGTGCAGCACGTCAAGCATAATAAGCACTGCGGGGATTTGGACTCTTTGGATCCCGTACGGCAAACAGGTGCCAAGGACTTGAACCATCATTTGGGCTTTATACCCGTTTTTTACTAACCAGTTTCCATCGCGCCCGTGGCGTACTTTAAAGTAAACCATGTGAGCGCAGTCAAGCTCGTTTGCATTGTTGCGACTATCAGTACGCTCATCTGCGACTGTGCTCTTCTTGATTCCCCACCATCTCCAGGGACATGACACAAGGTTTCTGTCTTGTGTGTTTATAATAGACTTTCTTGGAATCCTCAAATTCGGAGGGAGCCCCCCCGGTACAAAAGGTCCAAGCTGTTTTGTTCCTGCGGATTAAAGACTAATGGCTGCGAGTTGTGCAAATAGCACTTAGTCCCCGTTGCGTTGGGAAACGCATCCATTTCTCCCACAGATGTGGCAAACGCGGCTTTCGTCATCCTCGGGCTGAGGTCATTGCTTGAAAGTAAGATCACATTACTACAAACGGCAAAACGGCCGGGCGGTGTTTTAGGGGGTGTTCAAGGTTCTCACGCGTGAAGAATCTCTGGCTCTGGTATATTGTGCAATCCTTTCCAACAGAAGGTTGACCCGTAGGATGAGGCAGGGGTTGGGGGGGATTAACCCTTTCAGGGACAGTGGTTACTACAGTGGGCAGCTTATCAGGTTATCAGGTTACATGGTGCATGAAAGGGTTAAGGCTCCTGGATCTTCTTTTAGACTTTTGGCAACAAGAATCACACCGGGCTAAACATACTGTCATTGATATGGACTCTTCCCGTCCAGTCAGTCATAACAGTCCACGATCACAGGACGGTTTGCATTCTAACCAATACCGAGAATGTTGAGAAACCGTTTGGTTTATGGTGCCTTCACTGTCCATAAAAGGTCGCTCGTCTCAAAGGGATTGACCGCTTCGACCAAATTCAGTCCTGTTTGCCAAGGAAACGCAACATTTGTTCTGTAGGGAATCATGTGGTTAGCACGTCTGCCAAAAGGCCAGAGGTTCTGGATTCAAATAGCTGCTGGGGAATTCCTAAGCGGTTAAAAAAAATAAATAAATGGATGGCTGGGTCTTGATCTGTGTTCCTCCTGAATGTGAAGTTGTGTTCTCGTTTGGAGGGGAAAAGTCATCTCAGATTCAGGGCATCCCCCATCACACTTGCGTCAGCCTCAAACTTTGGCAAGGCACTAAGTGAAGAAGTGAAACGATTCCGGAGCCACTTTCCCTCTCGCAGTTCAATGAGTTTGAATCCCCTCCGAGTCAAAACAGCGATCTATACCTCCTGATACACATCAGAGTCTTGCCTTTAACCGCCTCGTTAAGCAATCTTGTAACCTTTTTGCATGCCTGCATGTTTTCAAGATGGCAACATGAGCGCCGACAGGAGGAGAGCGATCCAAAAACAGCGATTCGTCCAAGTGTTTTGTTTGACAATCAGATCATCTGAACAAGAGTTGGTGAAAACTATTCGGGTTGATCGCAGGTG